GGGTTAGAAACCTTGGCAGGGCTGTATTGCAATTTTTGGGACCTTCACTCACTTCCTGTGCCTGAGACAGTTGTCAATAGAATAGAACAGGAAGTGAGGGAAGGCTCAACAGCAGGGACACAATGACAACACAACCTTTTATTGTTGTCTGTGCCCCACTGAAAATTCTCACTCACTTCCTGTGCCCGAGACAGTTGTCACCATGACAGGAAGTGAGGGAAAGTCTCACTAGCAGGGACACCATGACAACACAGCGTTTTATTGTTGTCTGTGCCCCCACTGGAGATTTTCACTTGCTTCCTGTGCTCGAGACAGTTATCACCAGGACAGGAAGTGAGGGAAGTCTCAACAGCAGGGACACAATGACAACACGACCTTTTATTGTCGTCTGTGTCCCCACTGGAGATTCTCACTCACTTCCTGTACCCAAGACAGTTGTCACCAGGACAGGAAGTAAAGGAAAGTCTCACCAGCAGGGACACAATGACAACACAACGTTTTATTGTTGTCTGTGCCCCCACTGGAGATTTTCACTCACTTCCTGTGGCCGAGACAGTTGTCACCAGGACAGGAATCAAGGAGCTCCACTGGAGGCACAGTGTAATGAGATGATCACTGCCTTGCTGCAAGATATTCCAATATCTTTCCAACCTTTTACCGGCTTAACCTTTCATATATTTGTCACAGTATAAAACATACAGATATGATACATTTTATACCAGACCAGTTATATGGGGTGCCGAGTGACCTGTTATATGAAAGAGTAACCCATCGCACCTCCCGTCATTCGTTATCTGCGGCTTTATTTACTAAGCCAGAAGTGATTCCCTCTCCTATCATATATGAAATCTGATGCTGCGGTGTCACCCTGGCTCACTCAGACAAATCACTCCATACATAGATATTGTGATGTGACAAGACGTATTGATTTTCTATAGGATGAGAAGGATACTGTCTGGGATTGGTTGAATAGACGGCGCTCAGTGCTATAGAATTTCTTTGTGGGATGGAGAACAATTAAAGAAAATAAATGTCCTCCGACGCACATCGATCCGGTATAAAGCAGGACTGCAGACAGAACATTTCATTTTTAGTTCTGGCCACAATTCCTACTCCTATGACGGACCCTGACGGGTGTTCCTTACCTGTGATGGGCCCTGAGGGGTGTTCCCCGACGAGTCCCGATGGTTGTTCCCTGTCTGTGATGGACACCGACAGCTGTTTGTCATCTGGGACGATCCCCAATGGGTGTTCCCCGCCTGGGAAGGTTCCCGACAGATGTTACCTATCTGTGAAAGACCCCAATGGGTGTTTCCCATCTGTGATAGACCATGACAGGTGTTATGGGACGGACCCTGACAGGCATTTTCCACCTGTGACGAAACCCAACGGATCTTTCCTGCTTGTGATGGACCACAATGGGTATTTCTTGTCTGTAATGTACCCCGACGAGTGTTCCTAGCCTTTGACAAGCACCAATGAATTTGCATCATCTGTGACAGACCCAACGGGTGTTTCCTGCCTGCGACAGACCTTGATGAGCGTTTCCCATCTATTAGAAACCCCGACAGGTCCTCGCCATCTGAGATGGACCCTAACAGGTATTCTCCACTACAATGGGTGTTCTCAGCGTGTGGCTGACCTGATGGGTGTTCCCTGCCTTTGATGGACCCAACGGGTGTTTCCTGCCTGTGATGGACCTTGATGAGCGTTTCCCCATCTGTGATAAACCCTGAGAGGTGTTCAGCATCTTGGATTCTCTACTCCAATGGGTGTTCCCTGCCTGTGATGGACCCTGGCGAGTGTTCCCAGCCTGTGACAAACACCAAATTAATTTTCCTCGTCTGTGACAGACCCATACAGCCATTCCCTGCATTTGATGGACCCCAACAGGTATTTCCTGCCTGTGACAGACCTTGATAGGGTGTTTCCCATCTGTGATAAACCCTGACAGGTATTCTCCACTCCAATGGGTGTTCTCAGCCTGTGACGAACCCCGACAGATGTTCCCTGCCTGTGACGAACCCCGACAGATGTTCCCTGCCTTTGACGAACCCCGACGGATGTTCCCTGCCTTTGACAGACCCAAATGGGTTTCCCTTGTCTGTGCAAAACCTGTACGGGTGTTCTTTGCCTTTGATGGACCCCAACACATAAATCCCCCACAACAGGTGCCACATGAAACATACCGCCTGTACTACTCATTTTTTTGGGCAACATTAACACTTGTGTTAGGACCTTAACATCTATTACAACACAGTACAGGTGAGACATTGCACTCGGTGTACAATGTATACGTCTGTATGATGTCCCGGTACAATGTATACATCTATATGATGTCCTGGTACAATGTATACGTCTGTATGATGTCCCGGTACAATGTATACATCTGTATAATGTCCCGGTACAATGTATACATCTGTATAATGTCCCGGCACAATGCATACACCTGTATGACGTCCCGGCACAATGCATACACCTGTATGACGTCCCGGCACAATGCATACACCTGTATGACGTCCCGGCACAATGCATACACCTGTATGACGTCCCGGCACAATGCATACACCTGTATGACGTCCCGGCACAATGCATACACCTGTATGACGTCCCGGTACGATGCATACATCTATATGACGTCCCGGCACAATGCATACACCTGTATGACGTCCCGGTACAATGCATACACCTGTATGACGTCCCGGCACAATGCATACACCTGTATGACGTCCCGGTACAATGTATACATCTATATGATGTCCCGGTACAATGTATACATCTGTATGATGTCCCGGTACGATGTATACATCTGTATGATGTCCCGGTACAATGTATACACCTGTATGGTGTCCTGGTACAATGTATACACCTGTATGGTGTCCTGGTACAATGTATACACCTGTATGGTGTCCCGGTACAATGTATACACCTGTATGGTGTCCCGGTACAATGTATACACCTGTATGATGTCCTGGTACAATGTATACACCTGTATGGTGTCCCGGTACAATGTATACACCTGTATGGTGTCCCGGTACAATGTATACACCTGTATGGTGTCCTGGTACAATGTATACACCTGCATGGTGTCCTGGTTCAATGTATACATCTATATGATGTCCCGGCACAATGTATACACCTGTATGGTGTCCCGGCACAATGTATACACCTGTATGGTGTCCCGGTACAATGTATACACCTGTATGGTGTCCCGGTACAATGTATACACCTGTATGGTGTCCTGGTACAATGTATACATCTATATGATGTCCTGGTACAATGTATACACCTGTATGGTGTCCTGCTAAAATGTATACACTTGTAGGGTGTCCCGGTACAATGTATACACCTGTATGACGTCCCGGTACAATGCATACACCTGTATGGTGTCCCGGTACAATGTATACATCTGTATGATGTCCTGGAACATGGCTATCCTGACCACCAATCAGAACACAGTACAGATGATACAAAGCACCCTGGAAATATTCTATACAATGTATAAATCTCTGTGAAATTCTAATATTTGTATTCTTTCTTGAGCACACAATACAGGGGACACATTACCTACTATGATGAATGATATATACCCGGACCTCCCTCAGTACAGGTGACACATTGCCCTATACAATGCATGATACATACCCTGACCCCCCTCAGTACAGGGGACACGTTGCCATATGCAAAGTATGATGCCCTTCACCTCTCCCCCTCCGCAGTACAGGTAACACATTGCCCACTGTGATGGATGATATATATACCCTGAACCTCCCTTCCCCCTCATTACAGGTGACACATTGCTTTATACAATGCATGATATATACCCTGACACCCCCCACCCCTCAGTACAGGTGACACATTACCCACTGTAATAAATGATATATAACCTGACCCCGACACAGTACAGGTGACACCTTACCCACTGTGATGGATGATATATACCCTGACCCCCCTCAGTACAAGGGACACATTGCCCACTGTGATGGATGATATATATATACCCTGACTGCCCTCCCCCTCAATACAGGGGACACATTGCCCTATGCAATGCATAATATATAACCTGTATGATGCCTTTAACCTCTCCCCCTCCCCAGTACAGGTGACCCCCTAAAGTCTGTGATGGATGATATATATACCCCGTATAATGCCCTGTCAACCCTTAGTACAGGTGACCGCCAGCTGTCCCCCGTGGAGGCTCCATGCACCGCAGCGATCTGTATGAGGCCCTCCTTTTGGGTGGGGGACACCGGCTGGTAATGGGATGTGGTCAGTCAGCACATAACTAGGGACTGCTGCACAAACACGGGTGGGGCCGCCTCCATATCTCTTTTCACCTCACCTGCCATCCCCCGGCTATCCTCGTCCTTCTGTCCTAGGAGCGCCGGATGCCGACCGACCGCCGGACTGGTACTTCCTTAGCAACGGTCAACAGGCCGCAGAATCCACTTCCCTGGCAACAGGCCACACCCCTTGCACTGCAGAGCCCGGGGGCGGAGCTAGATAGGGCGGTTCAGAGAGACGGGGGCAAGGAGGTATCTCGGAGTGCATTGATGGAAATACTGAGCTCAAAGAGACCAGAGGCGCCCCCCCCATGTTTTATGTACCCCAATATGGGCTGACAGAGACTACACAGTACCAGTACCGCACTTACAGTGCTTTGAATGGAGCCCCTAAAAGCTTAGAACTGTGGCAGACAACTTCAGCTCGCCAGCTGTTGTAGAACTACAAGTCCCATGAGGCATTGCAAGACTCTGACAGCCACATGCATGACTCCCAGAAGTAGAGGCATCATGGGATTTGTAGTTCCACCACAGCCGAGGTGCAAGGTGCCATGGAGAGATTTGTCCTCCCGTCCCATCTGGATGACAACGGCTCCCCCTCCTTTTTCTTGTATGGGTGTCACATGAATAGGGAATGAGGTTAAATCTCTCCCCATTTCTTCCTCTTCTGTTCCATCTCCTGCAGCCACTTCCTGTTTACCTGAATTTCAGCCATGGCTGCATGTCATTTCTCAGGGTGGGTTTCCTGATGGTGACAACAGCTGCACACTGCCTACACAATGTGTCATAGTCCTCGTTGAAAGCCTGTATTGAAAACGTGATGACAATGTAGAAAGTGCAACTAGAAGGCCAGGGCAGCGTTGTCAGCCTGTAAAAGGAAGTGGCTGAAGGAGGACGCTCATGGTGGGAACGATCAGGGATCATTGTTGAGAAAATAACGTAGACATGGCATTAACCCCCTTCCTGCATGCTGTATGCATATCCAGCGGCTCTTGGTTACTGTTTACAACTGGGAGACCGTGGGGGCACATGATCACAGTGGCATCTGATCACATGATGCAGAAGTACAATGTGACTTTTAAAGGGCCAGCTCCAGCAAGGGTTAACATGTCAAAGCTTCTGTGAGACGTCACCGATCGTTTGAACATATACTTTACTCTCTCCAACTAAGTAATTATAACTTTAAATGGATACACACACACACACACACACACACACACATGTACACACACACACATGTACACACACATGTACACACACACTCTCAAATGTGAGATCTTTTATTATACAAACAGATACAAAATAAGTGATAGAAAACATTGGTATGAAGCGTTGGGATTGGTTATGTGCCTTTAGACTAATGGAAGTCAAGTTCCACCCGACAAATGTTACTCCTCGTACGGCTGGGAGCTCAGGAGCTTTGTGCTGATTATCCGACCTGTTCCCTGCCCAGACAGGCTCCTGATGTATCCCTGCGCCCAGCGGGTCGAGCTCTGACATGCGCTGAGTGTGCATACTATAGACAGCTGAAGGGCTCAGTACATGCCAGAGGTCGGCTACATGCCGGAGGTCGGCCTCCTAGCAAAGTGCCAGTCGTTATCTGTGGGCACAACGGATACTTCAAAAGCCTGCGCAAGCATACCTGACCGCAGGCAACGTTGGAGATTACACGGCTGTTACAGTTGAAGACTTGAATGAGATGTCCCTGCTCAGTCAATGCCACAAAGAAGGGGGGAGGGGCGAGAGCACATGAGGGGTCCTTCATAGCTACAAAGAGGAACTATCATTTTGCTCATGGGACAGGTCCTCTTGATTTGTTTGCTGTGCCCCCCCCCCCCTCCATACCCAGTACATCAGAGTATGGGGGTACATGAGATCTTATCCAGCTCTCGGCCAATAGCCAGTCCTGAACACGGTCACATGGTGGGAGGGGGACCCTGGCCGGCTAAACAGGCAAAGGGACCCCAGAAATAAATAACTGCCAGCCTGGGAACATCCACCCCCAAAAAGGACGGGGGATGGCGGAGAATCCCCATAGAAAAATGATAGATTTTGATGCCTGCCGCACTGCCAAGCAGGTGACACCATTTCCTGCCACCTCACACATCATTTCCTGTGTCACCAGCTCGCTCACTAAAGCTGTGTGATGCTCCCATTAAGTCCTATCAGCAGACAGGTGACACTGCAACCTGCCAAGCTTCAATAGAAAACAGCGCGGTCACAATCCCAAAACCAGCTGAACAGAATTATAAATCGTTTGGCACTTCAGTATTTCAGCTGTGACATCAGCAGTCCGTTTTCATTACAAACCTTAATTTGATGATGTCATAACTGGGTGGGAGGAGCTGGCAAAGTGCTGTGCATAGCCCTCAGCTCTGATGGAAGCAGTGGGAGGAGTTATGCAAATACCAAAATGCCTTGATGGGTAGGAGTCAGTCTGGAGGAGTGGGCAGTGGCGTAACAATCGCCATAGCGACCCAGGCGGCCGCTATGGGGCCCGGCATCCCTCTGATGCCGTGTGGGCCGCTATGGCGTCTCGGGTGCTGGCTGTCACTGACATAGCTCAACAGCTGCTGTGAAGGAAAAAACGTTCCCACTCACAGCCGCTGCGGAGCTGTGTCAGTGACAGCCAGCAGATGCGGCAGAATAGGCCGGTTACACCGGTGTTCTATCGATAGTCCAAACGTATCGAGTTCTGGGACCGCATGACTTCCGGTCCCAGAACTCGATACGTTTGAACATTCTATCAATCGCCGGCATTTGCCGTAAAGGAGGCGGGGCCCGCCTAACAGTGACCCCGCCTCCTCTCACATCACTGGCCAGCGATCTAAGAGCAGGTGGGGCCAGTGATGTAAGAGGAGGCAGGGGCCCGGCGGCGGCGACCACGGAGGTGACAGGTAAGAAGCGTACAGCGCAACTGAGACCTTGCAGAGCCCACCATAGAGAGTCTATGGTGGGCTGTGCAAGTGGCATAACTAGCAATCACGGTGCCCCATACAACATTTTGCTATGGGGCCCTGTGATTTCTAGTTACGCCCCTGGGAGTGGGTGTTCCTAGACAAGCTGAATTTGCATAAGTAACGCCCACATGTGATGCTAAGCCTCCATGATTGACAGAACTGAAACCCAATGATTGAAAGGGGCGGGGCCAGGGAGTCAGGTTGGGGAGGTAAGTACTAGATCAGTGGTGGCGAACCTTGGCACTCCAGCTGTGCCAAAACTACAAATCCCAAGATGCATCTGCCTCTGGGAGTTATGTCTGTGGCTGTCAGAGCCTTGCAATGCCTCATGGGACTTGTAGTTCCAAAACAGCTGGAGTGCCGAGGTTCGCCATCACTATACTAGATGATGCCAGGAAATGAGGTGGGTTCTATGGGACCTTTTGATGCACATTGGGAGAAGCTCACACCGTGCAGTGACATCAGAGGAAGCCAGTCCATGAGAGGAGCCGGTACGATGTGTGGAAGCATGTTCCCCTATTAGAGAGATTCCCCCTCTCCATCTGTCATGGTGACTACTGGAAAGTGAGGAGGGATTGGAAAATATTAGAATAGATGAGAGGTAGGGCGTGTCCCTTCATTGTGGAGAGATTTCATCGTTACTTCCTGTTGGGTCTCCAGAACAGGAAGTGAGGGGAAGTCTACCCAACGAGGAAGTGGTAGCGGCTTTCAGCATGAGCAAAGCTCAGCTCCGCCTACAAAAAAACTGGTTCCTGAGAAAGGGACTCGTCATTCACTAGAGATGTACAAAATGTTGCTCATATTTCACGACTGCAGAGGGGAGATTTGTAAAGACTGACTGAGTGACCTCGAACCTGCGGTGGTGTCATCTAAAATCCTGCTCACTTCTACATGGCGCACACCTTAGGCCTGGTCACAGGCGCCCCCTAAG